GTGTAAACGCCATTTTACAATGAGAATAACATAATTTAACTTTGTTTGTTTGAACATCTATATCACCTGTATATGAACTTTCATAGGCTAAACATTTAAACAATTAACGTCTTGACTTCGCATATTTAGCCTAATTTTGCAATGATGTCAACGTTATTCCAATGTTATGTTGTGATTCGCAGAGGTTGCGACAACGAGATTCGTTTAAAAAAATTGTATTTTTCAAATAAGATCCCCTAATTTTCGGACAACTGGGTTTCGGACAACTGGGTTTCGGAAAACTGGGTTTCGGAGAACTGGGTTTCGGAGAACTGGGTTTCGGACAACTGGGTTTCGGAGAACTGGGTTTCGGACAACTGGGTTGACCCCGTTCAGAATACAGGTTTCACTGTATTTGTGATGAGGATTTCCTCTGATTAGAGTGTTGACCATCTACTTAGGCCTTAGGGTCTGCTGATTGTAACATATATGCTAAAGTTTACCTGTAGATTGCTTTGATCTGCTGGGAAATTATTATTACCTGTAATCTGTAATTGAGCTGTAATCATATATGATATTATATAATAACATATGGTACTTGTGATTGCTTTGATCATGTTGAAGTTTGATCTCTAGGGTACTTCAACTTTACAATTATGTGTTAAATATAAAAGTAACAAGAGGCATAAGGGGCAACATCAAAATTTAAAGAATGTTTTCCATGCAACCTATATAGAATTATTTGATATTTAGATGGGGATTTAGATACTGTAAAACCTGCATAAATGCCCACCTAGAAAGTATTCAGCTTTCAATGTTTTTAGCTAAAATGGGTCTGTTTTCATTTCTGCTGATGTCGATCGAGTAAGAAGTGGTGTTTCAATTTGCAATTGTTATTTTTATATATGCACAATGAATGAAGCTTATAAGTACAATGTGAATGTATAAAATGGGAAGCAGTTCAATGTTTCTGAAAGAACTAAACATGGCTGTTCCATCTTTGCTACAATGGTTGTAACTTGTTCAATTTCTGCTTGCTGTTTGTATAGGTACGATAATCCATGTATGTTTGTTCTGCTAATAGTTTTATTTTCATGAATGTCAAATGCCTTTATATGTGTTCTATCCTATTTTCTATGCAAATACTGCTCTGTAAACTTTCTCTAAATCTACTGAGTCAGTCCTGGATGAGTCTTTGTCTTGGGAACAAGATTATGTTTGAGTTTATATAGAAGTCTGTTTTCCCCAGTTTTGAATATAAAAGGTAAAAACTGTAAGAATAACTGGATTTGTATTTTATACAATAATATGTTATGTGAAACCTTACCTGACTTTACAACTTAGTTGTTTCTATTATTAAACATTATGAAATAAGAAAATATTATTTAAAGTTTAACCAATTGCGGTTTAGATTTTCAACTGACCTTGATTCAAAAATATTCAGTACATATATTTTAGGATTATTGGAGACTTGAATTTAATAAATATGCCTAATATTTCATAAGCATGGTAGAATGCAGATGGAAATAATTTGGTTCAAAAGGTGCATGGGTTTTGTATTCAGAATATCAATATTATAAGGATTTGAAAATGTAATAATTGATATATTTAAGAAACCACTTTAATCACATTTTACTTTATATAACCGTTCAATGTTTGTTTGCATTAGATTTGAATAGCTAGAACACATTGCCGGAACTACTTTCTTTAGATTCAATTCATACAAATCTTGGTATACAGTGTGTCTCAAAAAAAATGTTACACTTACAAAAAGTTCAATATCTTTCATGATTTTGACTTTTCCCCTAAAATGTACTTAGATACCATAAGACCAGTCCTTCTCGAATAAATTCACACCATCAGATTCAAAATCCGTCTAAGATTGACTGCACAGGACAGATTTTATAGACGCATGTGAAATCTGATTTGCGCCAACTTCTCAGTGGCTGGACATAGGTGATCAATTCTTTTTTGGTGTGAATGCTGCGGACAGTGTTATCTTGATATGATCAATGATCCAGTTGTTTCTTTCCTGGATAGAAATACAAGATTTCATTGTCAGAGTGTTCAATTTTGTTACGTATGATGGCAACAGGATGATGCAAAGGCCTGTAGCAGATCGTTTGGTAGAACTCTTTGGAAATCAGAAGATAGCATTGAATTACCCAATAAATTGGCCCCCAGGGTCATCCCACTTTACACCCTTGAGTTTTTGAAGGGCCTCTGAAAGCGGTTTACAGCATCACAAACTGACCTAAATGAACTTCTGCAAAAATAATTGATAGAATCAGAGTGATATTACAATTCATGTGCACATGGGCAATGGTACCTCAGATTTGCTTAGGAGAACATGTTGAGGGGATCACATGTTTATGTGGATAGACCCAAAGATCATATGTAAGACAAATAGGAAAATTACATAATGACTCAGTTTAAGGTCAGGCTTCTACTCAGAAGAAAGTTAAATATTAAAGAAACTGTTCCTCTTTTGTCATTTGGTCCATCCAAGCACTTAGAAGTTGGCGCAAGTCAGATTTTACCATGGGACACTAAAAGCTGTCATGTGGAGCCAATCAAGGACAGATTTTGAATTTGAAGGTGTCAAATTATTCGAGAAAGATTTGTCTTTTGGTATCCAAAGTATATTTTAGGGAAAAGTCAAAATATGAAAGATATTGAACTTTTTGTGAGTGTAACATTTTTTTTGAGACACTCTGTAGTGCAATTTTGACCAAATGTGGTTTTATTGACGAAAGGGTTTAGTCTTCTGGAATTTAGGCATTATGTTGTGAAGACTATATTAAAGTAGACACAATTGTTAGTCCACTTAAAGAATTTGCTCCTATTATGTTTTGTATTTGAGTGATGACTCGAAAAGTAAATCGTACTTGTTTTTCTTCCAGTAATAACTACATTCTTATTTGGTTGAGACCATTGTGTTTATCAAATGAGTTGATTCCGATCTTTGTCGCTTTTGTGATTCTGCCCTACATCATACAGAATTATATTTCAATTGTATATTTACTCATGATATGACAAGTTCCATTGTTGAAGAGTTTTTTGCAATTATGAAATAGAGGCTAACACATATATAAAACAATTTTTAGAATGGTAAAATGGTAATGAATATGAAGTTGGATTTGTGATTCAAGAGGATATCAATACAACTCTATATAGAATGCTGAATTCCTCAGGGTTGTTAGTCCTTGTATGGCTTCCTTTGGCCTGTCATACTTCACTTATTGTACTGGAATAAAACTGTTATGATAATAAGTAACTAAGCTCAGTTAAGCACCTCAGAAGTGTGGCTTCATACCCAAAAATCCCATAATGAATTTGGTATCTTGAACACGATTGAAATATATTTTGATCAGCAGCATCAAGATATATATAAATGTGTATGTCTTTATAAACACGTCCTGATGATGTCACAATGTTTTTATCTTGCCAAATATCATAAAAATAATATACAATTACAGTATATACAATATAGTACAATGTACAATATACAATATTTTTAGACTGGACAAAATATAATCTCACAACGAGGATCAGCTTAGTCACACATTGTGATGAAGCTCTCTTTTAAAGAAAAATGAAACCACTGTATTGAAAAGGGTGATAAAAACTTGTAGCAAAGCATATGAATTATATAAGATCACATAGCAAGATATTAAGAGTACGTATCTGAAATCACCTGTATATATTTGAATACATATGCTTTGATAGTTTTGACACTCCTGAGGATCAGGGTCAAGAACATCACAGATGAAACTATCTTGAAGATGCAAAATCAAATGTAGTATTTGACCATACTATCCAGTATATTCAGTACATTCCCAAGTTATCTCCATGCATGTTTTGACTAACAATCTTCGAGATAAGTGTTGGTCTATGATATCTTTGTTATTACATTCTGCCTATTTATTAGACTCATATCTTTGTTTGCAGTTGGGTATAAGTGAATTAATTGATAAGTTACTTTGTATGTGATAGAACAGTTGAGAACTTAATGCAATAAAGGTGGTTATGAAGGAGGGGTCACATGAGGCTTTACCATACTTCACTTTTCCAGACCTTAAATTTATCGAGACCCCTAAATTTTATTGACTGAATTGATTGGTCCAAGCTCCTACCTCTTTTTGGAAAAATCTAGTTTTTGTCATCGAAAGGCATAAATCAGCCAAGAAAATACCCCAAATTGAATATCCTCAGGGTTAACTATAGTACTTCAATTTGCTCTGTGTTATTTTGAGTTGAATTCTACTCCTGTCCTCATACATAACTCGTCTTTGGAGAAGTAAATAACAAGGAGGAGGAGGGGGGGGGTGCAAAATCTTTATGCAATAGCCTTGCCTCCAAGATCCCCCCTTCCTACCTATTATTGACGTAGATAAGGGGGAGGGGAGGGTCCAGGGTATTGAATTGATGCAAGATCATGAGGCTATCTTAGAGTAACATATGATTAGTATTAGAGACTGGTATTATTGGATGTTAGAATATCTTTGGAATGTCGATTATGATTCCCAATTAATCTTGCTATTTGGCCAGGTATCTAAACTGTACAGGTATAGGCATTAGCTTCTGCATCTGTCAATCTACTCATCAGCACCAAGACTTTGTTTCTGCCACTCTTTTTGATGGATATTTCTTGAAATAACACTGGGTCTTATATCCTAATATCAAAATAATTCACCTTTTGAAGACTTCAGATTTTTATTTTTAACTGAATTGCAATTTTATTGATGTGTTTATCATCATCTTTCTACAGTTACATGTATTTTAGTGAATTATTTATTTGACTCTAGATTAGGAAAACTGTCGAAAATATTAAACTGTAGTTAGGCGTTGACATTTCTGCTGCAAATCCTCATATTTACTTGGGTAATGAAGGAATCCATATACTGATCGGCAACATTTGAAAAATGTCATATGATCTTTTATATGATGATGTTGTGTTCTTGCTCTAGTAATTATGATGCCATATAATAATAATATGTTTGTATGTTGTGTCATTGCAGGATGTTCTCCAGCAGTACATTGTCATGAGGCTACCTAATATTGTCAGCATCAGCAAGGAACCCGATTCTGGTAAGTATTAAGCAAAGAAAATTAAATTTTATTAAATTTTCAGAAGTTCCTGGATCCCCAAACTTTCTATTTTTAAAGCCTCATGCATTTATAAGAATAGAGCATTAATAAGGGCAACATTGGTAGCTTGGGGCAAAAACTAAGCGAGGATATGGAATATCAAGTCAACCAGTTATTTTTGCATTAAATCTCTTAAACACCCTCTCCCCTGTGGTCTTCACCTCCAGACCTGTGAAATTGTATGAAGGTGAGCTGTTTAAGGTGGCAACGAGAGCTATCAATTAGTACATCTTGTCTTGACCAGGACAACTGTTGGGTTGGTCAGTTAGGTCTTAATATTGATTCCCTCTCTCCGACTGAGGCCTGTGTTTGTCTAAGAGTCTCTGGATATCACAAAGTAGTCTTGTTACAGTGTTCTACCATTGAGGGAGTCACTTTTGTATTCTATATGCTTTTTTATCAACATGGGGCTAATTAGAGACAGGTTGGTCAAGAAATGAAGATTGGAATTTTGACCTTTTATTTTGTGATTATCCACCTCATGGTGGTTTACTGGGGACTAATCATGTAGTGAAGGCACACATGTCATCACTTATCTTCTTATCCTATCAGTCTAACTATCAGATAAACACTTATCCCTAACATATGAGAGATATGAGAGATACATACAATAATCTTGATCATTATTGGCTTAAGAGATCTCAACCTGGCCATGATTACTCAATGCTATATCTTGCCATATTTGCTGTAATACCATGATAAATTGTACAATAATACCATAATAAATGCAATAATACCATGTAATGATGCCATAATACCTGGATTCCTGGCCTCAAGAATTTTACAGTATTTGGCTCATGTTTGTTTCTCTTGTCTCAAGCCCCTAAACCTGTTCACTATTCACTTTATTACCTACAATGTATATTCAAGAGAGAATGGATACATACTACACAGGCTTGATGCAAGACTACATAATTGTAGACCCATTCCTAACTGAATTATCTCACATTCCATTTTTATGTTACTACCAAAAGTGTTGACCTATTGTAATAGTCTGCCACTTTTTTATGGACGGTATTCAGTGTTTGGCAGTTGGGGTTTGGTGTTTGGCATTTGGTGTTTAGTAGTTGGCATCTGTGACAAAAAGCAGATGGTAACAACGATGCATGTTACTCCCTTGTCTATTTTAAAACGTGATAATGGTACTGTATTTTGACATTGGTAGATGAGATAGTGTTGACCAAGTTACCTCAGAATACACCATCAATACACCACCAAACCAGATTGTGTTTCTATGTCTGGAAAGTTGTTCTGGATAAAAAATGAGGCCAGGATCCTTTAAATCCCCACTTGAGACTTGAGAAACACCTGTGTCACAATATTTTACTTCCTTAGAAGAAACATAAGGCAGAATGAACACACTTATAAAAATGAGTCATCCTTTAAAATAAAGGAAAGGATTTGGCACTGTGAAACAGTTATTTGACACAGCATGTTTATGTCAGTATTTTGTACATTCTGTACATTACAAGCAAAAATGCCGAATTGTTTTCATTGTCAGGAAGATATCCCGAAGCAGACAACTATAAGACTGATTTATGTGAAAGTCTTGATGGCAGCGACCAGAAGTTTATGTGATCAATAAGAGTGGTTGCAATTAACCTGGCATAGATGGCATGTTAACCACTGATTAATGATGTAAACAATACGATAAATAGGTGGCTCTAGCTTACATGGGACTAAATATGTCTGTATAATTGCAAAAATCATAATTTATCATTTCTGTATAGAACATGGCTGGAAACTTCTATTGAGATATGAGATTTTCTTTATTTGAGGTTAATTAATGTCACCAATACGACTGCTCATTGGGAATGTCATCAATTATGATTTGTAGGGCATGATTTCAGTGCTGTCATTTATGAGTTTTAGAGTGGTTTTGACCTGAAGGAAATCTAACCCAACATACACAAACACACCTTATCTCAAGATGACATCATCAACCACTTCCTTCTATTGTTCTCATTAAATATTGCAACACGCTTTCAGGGCAACTTTCTCTAAATTATACAGTAATATTTTTTAACCTATAATTTCCTTGTAGTTTTCTAGATTTCTTGAGGGTCCTTGTTTGTATATGTGATTACAAGGATGAACCTGGAAAGAATGGTCTCTTTTGAACTTATTTTTTAATTTTTGGCCAAATTATCAAAAATATGCCTTACATTTTCAAAATTTGGGCCCAATATTTGGTAATATGTCAGGCCATTACATTTAAACAGTCAATAAAAGATATATATTTAGAGGCCCAATATTTTTTGACTTGAAATATGCCTCCCCTTGTAAGCTTTGAGACCCACCACTGGACTGGTACAAGTTTATATGGGAACATATGACATATATTTCATTTTGACATCTTTTACCTGTAGCTGTAACAGGCTGAATTTTTTTTTTTTTTGTATTTTAGAGGTGGGATTCCCTGAAGACATTTGTGAGTGTTTTAAGGATCTGTTTACATATGTCTTCTTCACTGGTGTCCATGATGACAGACAGACTTTCACCCATTTCTCTAAATTGGACATGGTTTACTTACTAAACAACCCTGTAGACATTCTGAGTAGTTGTCTCTAAAAACTGGAATTATTGCCAGTATTTCACATATCTTTCCTATTCTTGAAATGCCATGTATATATATGTACATCACAGAATCCAGATAACCTTGAAAGTATACATTTGTCTACCTCCTTGTCTTTCAGTCTACCTTGCTGTACACATGATCAACAAATGATCATCAAAAAATTAAACATCATTTTGTAAAGTCCACATTTTGTAGCCTCTATGTGCAGGTTTCCAAGATCTCTGTAGGCAACAAGGAATGATAGCTTTATGTTTTGTAAAGCACTTCACTTCATCTCAGGTTTCTTTGATGTCACCCTGAATGCTCTCAGTTTTCTCCACCTTACTCCCTTGGGTCTCCATCGCCCAATGTAGCATGTTTGGACATCTTTGGTGCCTGGAGCCATGAGTCCCCTCTGGGTCTTGGGGAGGGGAGGGGGGTCAGGGGCAAAATCCATCAGCCCCGTATACATGTATCTCTCTTGATTTAACCAGGACTTTGGGATTTTACTCCATGCATTCTATTGTAAAATAAGGTCTTATGCGATTCCATTTGGCATATGGGTCGAATAGATGATTGATTCTTCTTCCTCAAAACAACCCCAATATCATTCTTCATAATTGATTGTCTGTAAGCTATAACTAATACGGTAGGCAGGGCTAGGGTGTGGCACATTCTGTCATTGGATTCATTGCCTGGTGTTACTTTTCATATTAAGTAGGAGACATTGGTGATGTTGATATGCATTGTACTTTTAAATACTTACAATAACTTTTTGCTATCGCTTGTCATTGCTTATAATTTCAACATAATGAAGGTATGGTGATCAGTGCTCACGGGAGTGATGCAATCAAGACTAGAATGTTTATTTAATCATTTTCGGAATGATATTTAATTGAGCTGTATATGTTAGTATTTTGTGCTCTGGCCATAAAAGCCATTGAAAGTACCCAGCACTTATCCCAGAGCCTCATAGTACTTGTGATCACAGACTCTTGTCTAAGTTGGAAGTGGGCTTCTGGTTCATAGCAGTGGATATAATTGAATAGCTTTCAAATAAATAATTTGTTCCACTTCTAATGGTAACCTTTCAATTTGCTTTGAAATGAATTGTTTGTTCTGGTTGGAGCAGTGACACTTTTAGTATACCATGGGTCAAGTAATGTGGTATGTACACTCTTCTGGTTTAATGAAGTTCAACGCCTAATTACTTATAAATGACTTTGATTTTTAAATATGAATCGAAAAATGAGTATGGATACAAATAAATCCAACAATGATCTAGTGATAAAAGATAAAAAGCAGTGAGTCAGTGTGTCATAGGTTATTCCTGTCTCTAGGCTTTGGAAAAAATACAGGCCAGAATATGACATCATCTGTAAGGTAGATATACATTGCAGATATCTAATGAGCTTGATACCACTCTGGTTAGTGTCAATGACTCAGACTGGGTCACATTTGAGACCCAGGCCCATACCCAGGGTCTACATTATGCATGTCATCTTGTATATAATTCTGTTTGATCAGAGAATAAGTTATTTATGGTCCAAATTTTGAAAAAAATTGAGGCATGGATATAAGTATGGGCCTGACATCTTACCCTCTCATCTTTTTCATCACATGCATTTACAAAAAATCTTTATAGATATGTTGTATTAGGGTATAATGAAGAGCAGACTTCTTTTACCATGATGCCTCAGCATAATGTCATCGTCATAAACAAAGCTACTTTCATAGTCTAAATACAAATTAGTATCATTATATTTTAAAGTTGAGTTATTGCTATGTACATAGGAGATATGTTGAACATTGTATCATTTTTTCAGGTATCCATGTGAGTTACATTTCATTCAAATAACATTCTAGCCCAAAGGGAGGCACTTAATCATCTCTATAACTGAGTATACCTGAAACAGGGCCTGTTGAAATATCTCAGCAAAATGACAGTGTGAAACAAGTATAGGCCAATAAATAATAATTCTTACTGCTTCAGTTGCATTGCTACTAGCTATGGCTTTATACAGTGTGATTTCGTCACATCAGTATGCATTATGTGTGCCGATCATCCCTGCATCTATTTTATGAAACAGAGAAGTTAATTATTATTACTAGGTATTGTAATAGTGCCCCTGAAATGGAATTGAAAATTGAACTGACATCTATTGTTTCTCTGTATAGATACTATAAGTTATTGAATGATTTGAAGTGCAATACAGGATATATTCTGCTCGAGAAATTCCGTTTTGGAACGAGACGAAGTCGAGTGCCAATACAGAATATCAAGACAGAATATATCCTGTATTGCACTTCAAATCATTCAATAACGTTTTTATCGTGTGATCCTCTGCATTGCTACTGAGATTTTCCCTTCCGTACCAATATTTTCTGTATTGCGACGGAGATGATCAACGGGGACAATCTCAGTAGCAATACAGATTGGTACAGCACAACAACTGAACAATCAGAGGGCTTCATTTTACAGATCATACGATAAAAAATGTTTTTTTTGATATTTAGAATTTTTGATACAAAGATTTTAGTCTACCTACTTCCTACCCCTGAAGGATATGAATTATACACAAAATGTATTCAACATTATTATCCTTTATATTTGAAGTTGAATCTCTGGATGAGCTAAAGAAGGTGCTTCTACTGGTGCTTGGTTGTGCTGTACAATGTGAACGCAAGGAGACTATTGTTGAGGGTATTAAGGAACTGGATGTACAAACACAGCATGCCATTGTAGAGAACATCAAAGAGGTATGGGGTGTAAGACAGGCCATATCTTCAACTGCATTACTGGTTAATGTGGTGTTCTAAAAGTTTTTCTTACTTTTTGATATTTCATTGAAAATTAAGATGAAGTTCATAATTATAAATCTATGGTGCTTTAGATTAATGATCTATCTTTGCTATTACTTCAAATTAGATTATTGTTTCAAATGAGATTCCTTTATGGCTACTTAACTCTTATGTGAAATGAAATTCTAGTTTCCAATACCAGAAAAATTACTTGTATAGACATTACAATATTCAATTGAGAAATTCTGGAAGCTCTCAGATTGCACAATGTTAAATTGATGTATTGCTTACATTTCCAGATCACAGATGACAATAGAAATGTATGTGCAATAGACTCAGATATGGCAGATACTAAGGCCCTTTATAACCATCTCAGGATACTGTCATCCGAACGGGACATGTATATCGACGTAAGGCTTTGCACAAAATAGAGTTAGATACTCCAGACTTGTATTAATAGCAATTTGATAATTACTTAACTGTTAGTTGCAATTAGTATTGATACCTGTCCATATTTACAAATGAACACATTTAGAACGTTTTAATACATGGAACAAACAAACAAAAACTATGCTCCTTGTGTTAAGTCCCAACAGTACAACTCTATTTAATTGCCCCAAAACAGAGATTTAAAGTAGACCTGGGCTTATTAGGAGACTTGTTAACCTGAACATTTTTTGGCTCTTCATCAGAGAGAATTAAATGAATCATTGTCTAGGAGACATTCTAAATAAGTGGGATCTACAAGTAGAGAAGAATGTATTCCAGTTTTGAGATAAATTTCAACAACTTTGCATAAATGATATTCTATTATATTGCAGGAGATCAAAGAGCTTACCCAAAACTTAGACTTGACTGCTAACAAGATGCCCCTGTCCCCACCCATCTCCCCAGACAAACACCACTTAGGAGTAGAACTTGCAGAGTGCAAGGCTAAACTAAGACGCCTCAGAAGTGAAGCGTATGTATTTAGTGTCTTTGTTGTCTTTTTGAATGTGTTTTTTTCTGTTTGCTTTTGACTAGGTGTATAGAAGGCAATGTGAAAACCAATTTGTTATTACATAGTTAAGCAAACAGGGCCATTCAACCTCTTTAGTACATGTAACATATTTTACGATACTTTGGCTATTATGTTAAATTTACATTAAATAATATTGTATGCCAACAAACCCTCTCATACACTTAAATGTTCTAATTTTAATCTAACTTCACTGATATCTAGAGTATTGAATTCAAGATATACTCACATTTCTATATATGAGATCACCTTTGTGTATGTTTTCTATATTTGTCATATTTCCCCTTGTTTCTCCAGGGAAGATAAGGCTGAAATGATGGCTGAGATGAAAGATGAACTTGAAGAACACCGCAGCTCTCTCACTAAACTCCGCAGTGAAAACCTTGAACTTACCCAGGATGCACGGGCAGCACGTGCCTACAGAGATGAACTTGACGTCCTGAAAGAAAAAGCGACAAAGGTTGATAAATATGAAATGGATATTAAGAAATACAAAGAGAAGATCAATGAACTTGAGTTCTTTAAGACACGTGTTGAGGAGCTACGGGAGGATAACCGTATCATGTTGGAGACAAAGACTATGTTGGATGAGCAGCTTCAGAGCTCATATAAACGTATTGAGACTGTGATAGAGTTGGAGAATGAACTGATGAAGTATAAACAGCAGCTGGAAGAGATGAACCAGGTATGTGTACATTGAACTGTCAAAGGTAGAAGATGTGGTCATGTAGCTGTAGCTGTAGGATGCAGAGAACATTGAAACTGAATGAGCTTAACTAATGTACTCAAGAGTTGTCAATAAAATATGATTCACCTGGTTTTTAGGGGTTTTCCAATGTTAACTTTTGTACTTTTTAGGGTGTTCAGTGTCTGTAACAAATGGCGGGTGGTGATATTTTCATGTTTATGCCTTCTTTGTAATTACAGGAGAGGGATGCAGACAGGCTGAGGATACAAGAGTTGGTAGAGGAGAGAGCAAGCATGGAGTTTAACATCAGAAGTACTTTGAATGAGAGTGCCCATCTTGAATCTGAACTACATGATGCTAAGATACAAAAGCCTGCTGGTAATACATCATCCAGGATTTGTTTACTTATTGATGATATTATTTTTTAGCATTAGAATCACTTCATGTTCAATATGTTGCATATACTGTAAAACCTGTTGAAGTGAAACATTTTTGGTACGTCTTAAAAGTGTTCAATTTGGGAGGTGTTCCATTTATAGAGATTCATTTAATAAAGTCAGTTGGTCTTTGGACTCTGAAAAGTGTTCCACTTGCAGAGGTGTTCCACTTAACAAATTTTTACTGTACATATATTTGTGTAGACCATACGAATAAAGTGATCCATTAGAATATTTAAAGTTAAAATATCTAAAAAGCATGTTTTTTAAAATGTTATTCTTTATAATGTATTTGGTTCATTTTCAGGTTCTATAGCCGAACAATTGAATGACACTTCTAATGCCAAACTATTGAAACTGGAACTAGAAAACCAGAGACTCCAGAAGAACCTTGATGATCTTAAAGACAATTCAATCGTTGAGAACAATGCTCAGTTACTAGAACTAGAGAAAGAAAATCAAAGATTAGCAAAGAAAGTGGAAAAATTACAAAATTCTTCCTCAAAGGAAACACAAAATTTTGTCGCTTTAGAACAACAAAATATTGACTTATCACGTGATAAAGAGAACCTTCTTCAGACTATGGATACTATAAAAGAAAGTGCCGATCGCCAACTTAGGGAGTTTGAAATTGAGAATGAACAGTTACAACAAACCGTCCAAACACTACGTGAACGCAATGAGAAAACTTTAGATCTTCGTATGAAAGATATTGAAAAGGAAAACAAACGATTACATGAGAATGTTAGAGACATGAGCAGCCAAATGTCAAAGCTGGAATTTGATAATAGGCAGCTCCAGAAACAACAGTACAAATTGGAAAATAATGTTGAAAAATTAAAAGATCTAGAAAATGAAAATCAGAAATTAGATCGTGAAAATAATGAACTTCATAAAACAGTGTCCACATTAAGATTAACATGTGAAAGAGTAGAAGAGTTGGAACAAGAAAATTCAGACTTTGAAGTACAAAATCATAAACTCGATAAAATGGTTGAAAACTTGAAAAATTCCTTGAGGAAAATGGAAAATGTGGAAGAAGAAAATATTAATCTGACAGTTGAAAATCAGAAATTGAATCGAACAATTGAAACTATAAAAAGCTCATCTGGGAAAGTTCTGGAACTTGAGAGTGAGAAACAAGCTCTGAATCATGAAAATGAGCAATTGAAGAAAATGATAGAACACTCAAAAAAGGAACAAGTTAAATATGCCAAGATGGAAGTAGAAGTTATAGAACTGGACAATGAGAACCAGAAGCTAGCCAAAAACATTGAAATTGTTGAAAGGAAGGCCAAACAATTAGAAAAAGAGAATCATGACATTGAAAATGAAAACCAGAAACTGCAAAAAAGTTATGAAACTTTGAAGCATTCAGTGCGAAAATATGATGAGTTAGAACGCAGACATACAGAACTAGAAATTGAATACAATACATTAAATCGTGATATTGCATCACTTGAAAAGGAAAATAAACGGAATAAACAAACACTTGAGGTGAAGGATGCTAGCATAGATGAATACAGTGCTCATCTGGCTGAATTTGAACGAGAAAATAGGAACCTTAAGAAGACTCTTGAGAAGAGTAAAACATCTGATAATAAGCTGAAAGATGCTGAGAAGGACCATAAAGAATTACTCCAACAATCTGCCATAGACAAGAAAACTCTCACTACTCTCAGAGAGGTATGTTTGTAATCTAATGGATTATGATCTGTATGTGCATAAGAATGACTGTATTTAAGACTTGATCAACATATTATTAAATAATATTTTCTTTAATCAAACGCTCGAGAATAAAAAGGTACAATATACATTCATAATAGATACATATCATTTAACATAATTCAAAATAACATATGTGTAATTTTGACACATAATTATGATATCTAAATATCATTCCATGGTATCAGTTAATGTGCAAACTTTGATAGATAAAAAAATTAAATTTCATATCTTGTTCATTGAAGAATTATTCGAGGCTTCAAATAATGAGAAATGTTTATATTGATATTGTGTTTCCTGTTTTTCTGAGGTCTTCTGATTGGTTTCTCACTAGGCCTATAATATATTAATTATTTTCATCTCAGGATCTTGTGAATGAGAAAATAAAGACCCAACAGCTGAACAACGACCTTGATGCACTGAACTCTGAGTTGGACAAAATGGGACTGAGCCGGCAACGTCTTATAACTGCAGCTCAGGAAGAGGATGAAAGGTGCGAGAACTGTGTTGGTTGTATACACCTGTTTTGTTGCTATGGCTAGGCATGTTACTCTAGATGTGTGACTATAAACCCTGTGACTGAACGTTCTGTTTACCTACTTACACCCAGTGTGTATGTACTTTGATTCCATGTGTGATATTGCTATGAGACACCACACATGTTATCAAGGTATAGCACATGTTTATTGGAAGTTTGTACAAATCTTACTTCCATATTAGGGGACACTTCTTACATTCCATATACTCACCAATCAACTGAAGATGGAAATGCAATGCATGGACATTTTATCGCACACAATTTATGTCTAGTATCTGTCATAATGCGTCAAGTCTCTAGCTAGTAATTAAGGAACTAATCATGAGCTTTTCTAAGACTGGCAAGCTTTCACATAGTATATATACATCATGTAGAAGTTGGGACTTTTACATGGTATATATAGTTCATGTTGAAAGTGAAACCTGTTTTAGAAACACAATTGAAACTGAAGAAATGCTCTAAATGGCTTATATCTGCTTTTTGGTTTGGTAGATTTACCGTAAGTTTATTTCCACATGAGACTTGTGCATTATCACAGATGCTACATTCATGATTTTGTGTACATATAAAATGTGTGTGCATTGTGTGTATTTTGTCACAATGCGAGTAACATGTCGTTTCGTAGTAACAAAGTGTATTCAATGCACACATGTTTTATTTATTTTTATTAATATATTAATTCTGTTGATTTATACAATTTTGTAGTTGTTAAAAAGCTGCAGTATGACTTACGTAGTTTGATTTCATATTTTATTAATAGCTCCTTATTATTTTAAACTATTAAATTATTAAAAGTTTGCCATGTAATGATCAGTACATAGCCAGTATATGCTTTTAGTGAGAGTAGTTAGTGATCTCTATTTTCCAAATATGTAATTAAGTAACCTTGTATGTAAGGATAGCAGCACTTCAATATTCTTTGCATTTAGTTCAACTTTCAGGCATGTTTGACTGGTTAGTTATTTAACCAGTCCAATATTCTGTCTGTTTAGAGAGTGTTCAAATGGCTTAAGTTGCATTCAGCTGCTCTATCTAGTCGGACTTTACTGTACTGTACTGTACTGTACTGTACTGTACTGTACTGTACTGTACTGTACTGTACTGTACTGTACTGTACTGTACTGTGCTGTGCTGTGCTGTGCTGTGGTGTACTGTACTGTATACTACTTGAATTATGTAATTGCACTTCAGTTTGAAACTGAACTACAAATTCTCAATTTACAAGATTTATAAAATCAGAGCATCAAATGTTCAATCAATAAATTAACAGGTTTTTTAGTGAATTTTTGAAGATTGTATCTATCTATTTTTAAACCCTGACATCAAATAACTTATAATTGCTATGTGTATTAAATGCATGCTTAAATCCCAAAATGTGCATGCTTAAAATCCACAATAGATTGATGATCAACATGGAAACCTAAAGAGAATTGTTGCTATAGAAACAGATGATGCACATAATTTTGTTTCCATTAATAATCATCATTCTAAATGAACTGAAGTAACTACATGTAATATTATTGTATTGTATCAAATTGAATCCCTGTCTTGTGTGAACCTCAAATGTTAGAGGAGGAGGGTTCAATCCCAAGGCTAAGAGACTGCTATATTATGGGATTGATCCTACCTCCATTGTAACTACTTCACTGTACTTTCCTTCCTTGCATGAGGATTGGTGTTTGCTAGTCATTTGTAGATCCAATTTAATTTGAGTAATAATACATAAAAATTGGTCATTGATAGCTTAAGATTTAAAAAGAGAGATGGTTCTGGTGAAACTGGAATTGCTTATGTACTCTATATGCTTGCCATATTTAGAAGTCCATTGGAAGGCTTCACATTTTACATCATATTAATTTGAAAAGCATTTTTGAACAATTGAAACTGCAATATTGTTTTTAACTTGCCAAGTTGGGGTTTTATGAAATTTACAATGATTTTATACTGCTGGTTAATCAATCTTTTATATTTTATTTAATGACTGTGCCACGGTATTGAGGCCTGTACATTATAATAAGACCCCTAATATAAAACAATTATTAAAATAAATATAAACATTAGCTAATGCTAGGGATATGATGGGCAGTTAAGAAATAGCTATGCAACAACCCTTTAGAAACTAAAGAAAGATATTATATGACCAGAAATGTGTTTAAAATGCAATCTGTGTTTCTCAGAGGGGGAAGATTACATGCAGCTCTGAATCTGTTCTTTCCCCAGACAATGCAGGGTGCAACTATGAGGCAATCACGACGCAGGTCTAAGAAACTGGTCACCTTACCATGGTAGATCAATCATAGAATAACCTTCAGATATAAACACTGCTATTAAGGATATTAAATGATACTAGATCATTCAGCACTCAAATGCCTTTGTCAATGAAAGGTTCATTGAAATGAAAACACAGAAATAAATCCTATTTGAAAGATAACTGTGAAAAATCACTGCATTTGTAAGTGGTTCAGACTAAAATTCAAAATATGAAATGTTAGTTTATACATGTTGAGTGTCCACTAGTGGATAGCAGTTAAATGTACAATGTACCTCTAATGTCTAACATAACCATATAGTGGTCGGACAGTCCAACATATCTAACATTATACCCAATATATTCACTTTGTATAACTATAGAAATAAGCCATATCACAACAAACAGGATGTCAATAAGCTTAAAGAATAAAAATTATCTAAATTGCCAAAAAGAGGCTAGCTCTGAGAGTAAAATGTATAGTGCTTCATCACTAAAAAAATGCAAAAAAACTTGCAGTCTTTAGCAACTTAGTATACAAAATGCTGAATTCATAAGTGCAATTCGTTAGGAGTAAACCGCAGTAATAAATATATATCGAGTGTCCCAAAAAAGTGAATCGCTTTTTGACAGGTATTTTCTCAGCAATAGATAAACTAAATTCACTTTTTGGGACACCCTATATATTATGTACATATACAAAAGCTGATAGATTTCAAAACTGCTGAATAAAAGATGTCATAATGGCAGATATGTTCAATAAATTTGTTATGAACTTGTAAGAAAATGTATAGCAATCTTTTCATTTTTGAAAATATATTAGTTTGTTACTCATATATGTTAATATTTAAGTTATTTTTATTTATTCTTCTGGTGCTAATGTAATAAGCTGAGATACTGTGAGAATTTGTCTATAAGATGCCCTAGAAGACTCAATAATATGATAAGATGCTTCATTTTAATATAGGGTTCACTTGAGAGGTGCTCCACTTTCAGAGGTTCATTTATCATTAAGTCAATTGGTCTTGTTCCACTTCTAGAGTTGTTCCACTTGCAGAGGTGTTCCACTTCTAGAGGTGTTCCACTTGACAGGTTTCACTGGGTTTGCAATGCATTGAAGAATTACAAATTTTCACAATTTCTGTTGTTTTCCAAAAACTATTTATATTAACCCAACCCATTTTCAAGACCCTGTATTGCACACAAATACACAAGCTCCTTATAAGTGATAAGTTCTAGCAGTATCACAGCTTAGTTAAGTTGCACACTAATTTAGCTTATATAATGGGTATTGAGTGTTCTTTTGGAAACAGTTCACACTAAAACAGTTCAAATCCAACGAAAGAACAATCAAAATGATCATTAGATATTTGTAACCTACATATCATATATGCTCTTCTTGATCAATAGTTAATTACAAAGGCTAATTTGATTGGCTAAATACAGTCACATGACCATGTCTTGGCGATACAGTTCAATAAATTTTGTCACATGAGCATACTATATCTAGCTGATTTGAAAACTTAAGAACATCACTAACATACCATGTACTGTATACAGTATATGATAGAGCACTTACTTATACATAGCAGATGTTTATCTGGAAATGCTTATCTATTACTGTATTCAAGACAGAGAAATTCTTATCTAACATTTAAAATCTAATATGAATGTAGAAAAACTGTATAACATGATATGTAGTGATCAAGATCTAATACTAACATTAACTTACAATGAAAGTTTAAGCAGATATCACATGTTCATATTACCCAGGGTACCCAACTTAATGCACTGGATATTCGCCCATGTACATGTATATCTTTAATTGGAAGCATTTGTTGGGGCCTTGCATTAGACTGACCAATCATACATTATTACACATATGAATTAAATGTGGCATTGTAATATCTACTATGATTTGAACTGGCTAGTATGTAATGTTCATGTACACTAGTGATTATGTAATTAATCTACAGTCACTAGCAATATAAAACAACCAGTTGTGTTCATTAGATCTCACTAATAGACAAAACCTACCTTGAACCAAACCAAAGATATTGTCATTGATTTTTAGGATGTCTGGTTGTAGGTGAATTCAGTTTTTGTGAAGACACCCTGTATTTTCTAGTTGTAGTGTAGTTGCACTCTTGTGTCACTCTGTAGAACACTGTTGCTCATATTTATAAAATCATATCATCCAAAAAGAAACAAATAATAGAGCATTGTGAAGTGATGTTAAACTAGTAACTGTTTCTATTTTTTGACCAACACTGATTATATAATGTCTATTTTCCATCTGCCTATTGCAATTCTGCATTTTACAGAGAGTTGAAATATTATCTAATAAATATGAGCAAAATTGAGTGTCTAATGATATTTCTGTGTCACTATATTTTGTAGTAACAGTAGCACAGACTTCTGTGTCACTATGTAGTTTTTAGTACATATAACATACTTTCCTGTCACTCTGTAGTTTGTAGTAACAGAAGCACTGACTAATGTATCACTATGTAGTTTGTAGTACATGTAACCAACTTTTGTGTCACTCTGTAGTTTATAGTAACAGTAGCACATACTTCTGTTACACTCTGTAGTTTGTAGTAAAAGTAGCACAGACTTCTGTATCACTCTGTAGTTTGTAGTATGTTGACAGGCTATTGCAATAAATGACATAAAAACTGAACAATGTTGTTTTCTCTCCCAGTCGTTTTAAAGCCCTAGAGTCAATGATGGAAGATGCCTTCAAAAAGAGTACCGAGCTAAAGGAGGAGAAAATACATGCACTTGAGAGCAGGTAGGAGCCAATGGGCAAAAATTCTAATTACGAAATTTAAGAAGGAACTTAATACAATGTAGTTATCTTGGAAATATGGGAATCAATATTTATATATTTTGGAACTGCAAGCCATTTGTATCAGTGTATTTTATCAGTCTTTCTTTTGAAAAAATGAAAATATTTTGGGTTGAATCAAATTAATTTTGGATTTACCATGTAATATTCATCAGGAATTTTTAACCAATCTTTGGGCTATGCTATTGAGAAATATTATTTTGGTGTGCTAATCTCATACTTGATACAATAGACCATCATTTGATTGGGCTGCATCATTGATTCTTTCTGAGTATAGTTGTAAATGCTTTGAGGCGTATGCCATGTCATTTGAAGGAGAAAGGGCCACTGATTTGACCCTCATTGTTTAAATTAGTGTGCTACTTCTATAGGTACCTATTAGATTTGATGCAAATTGCAAAATTACAAACATGCATTTGGTTATTCGCATTTGATGCAAAAGTACAAACATGCATTTGGATAATGGTTATTGGCATTTACCCCCTTACATTTTCACCTATTATATGGAATCTATTGACATCTATGCTGCAACATTGTAGATTGGAAGAGTCCAAATCCCGCAATACTGACCTACAGAATGAGCTGCGTATCGTGAAGAGAGAGTTTGAGAAACTCAAGCAGAGACATGATGAGGAGGTTAACAGCTTACGTCAAGAACACAGCTCCCTACAGAAGGTAAGTGCAGGGTAAAATCTGCTTACATTACATATAGAATGCATTATGTAGTTCCTTATTGGAGGCATATGTAATTAAAATGTGGTACATAATTCAAGTGTGGGGAATCTATCTAAATATAATATATGTTGAAAAATTAAAATAGATAATTCTTGCAAGATTAAATGATGATTTTCATAAAATACATAGGTTTACAATTTGTGTTATGTTATGGCTGTTTTACATCATCAAATTGAAGTATTATATGGGTTGTTTGCTATATATTTGAGTTAATTTGAGAACTAAACATGAGTCATGATTCTATGCAACCTTGCATGTCAGACTTGATGTTCCCCTCAAGAAATTTTCCATTATATCTTCATTTATAATTTCTTTTCATCGTGTTAGACTGGCAATTAACATCACATTCAAAACCTTACCTTAGGACAACACACCATCAAAATTATCAAAAACATTATGCAAACTATAATTTGCTTTAAAGACTCAATCCTTAAGCATTAACAACTGATGTAACATGTCCTATTCTGGGCAACTTAACCTATTCATTTTTCTACCTGTTCTCACTTTAATCTCTCAATCTCTTACTTTTTGCTTCTCTTTCTCTCTACTGCTTAGAAAACATGATACACTCATTTGTAAAAAACAGAAATAAAGATAATTAAAAAACACAGGTAGACCTGAGAGATTTCTCCATTTTCCTTACTAATCGTGAATAAAAGCATGTAACTAATTTTTCTTATAGGCCCAACAGAGGAACAGAACCAGTAGTGTAGAACTGAGGGTCCAACCCAGCATGAACATTCCCCATGCTCAACCCCATACCAATGCTACACACTCTACTACACATGTTATGCCTCAACCTGTACAGCAGATCACACATGTATTGCCTCAACCTGTAGAACAGATGCCAGCTAAGGAAATACTGGCACTTAAGGACCATCTTGTAGACTTGGAAAGAGAGGTATGTTGAACATTTTTGACCAAATGATGAATAATGTATTCTTTTAATTGCATGTAAGAAAATGTATTAAAAGTGCTTTTAACTCATCATTTTAAAAATCCTATAAAAAATATGTTTTAGTTGATATTGAAAATAAAAGAAATGATTAAAAAAATATTCAGTTTTGTTTCAATGATTCTTATATTGTACTATACATAAGCCTTGAACATATTAAAATTACATTGCAACTCTTTTCATAAATTGACCAGCTGCATACTTTAACTTGCAGAATGCTACACTCCTATCAGAGAACAAGAGCATCAGGGGCCAGTTGCAGGAATTGAAGCAGCAGATCAGCACTTCGGGCTCTTCACAAACAACCCTCCAATCCCAGGTGATTACACTCTCAACACAGAATGACTCACTACAATCCCAGAATGCCAAGCTTCAAGTTGAGATGACAACTCTCCAATCCCAGAGCTCCTCGCTGTCCTCCCAAAATTCGCATCTACAAGAGAGGTATGATAACCTGGAAGGAGATCATGAGCAGCTGATTATGAACCATGAGGAGTTACAAGGAGCCCATGAATCACTTGTGTCTGACCACGAGGCCCTACAACAGTTACATGAACAACTCACAGGGGAATATGAGGCTTTGATATCAGAACACGGAGGTCTGAAATCCCTCCATAAATCTCTAAAACAGGAGTTCAAGGACTTACAGGAGGCCCAAGAGAAGTTAACAAGGAATAACAACGAAGTGAATAAACTAAGGGACCAACTTGAGGGAGAGAGACGTAGCATGAAGACAGAGACCAAATCAATGGGAAATATGCAGACTGAGTACAATCAACTCAAAGATGAGAACTCACGTTTGAAGAGCTCTAATGATAAACTAAATGGGGAGTATAGGGATCTCCTGAAAGAGCACAAGGGAGTTAAATCTGAGTACAATGGACTGAGATTGAGGCATACTGAGCTGCAGGGAGATATGGCAGAGTGCAAAGACCAACTTAACACAATGGATGTTGAGGTGGCAAAGATGGCCAATAAATGTGAGGTATGTCAGTTCATGCTTGATAAGTTATATAATGTACTAATCTTTTTTTTTTGTCTTGTAATTAAAGAAATATGAACTTTTCTCTGGCGTTTTATGATAATAAATATGAACACAGTGGAGTATTACTTATATGTAATGTAATTTTGCTCAATTATTGACAAATATGAGCCATTAAAATGACATCCGGATTAATGTATGATTTCCTGAATAGGACATCAGAATGTGTTTTGCTATACATACATTGTACTCATTGAAGAAGCATCTTTAATACAATGTATCTTCTATCTTACAGGCTTTAGTGAACCTGAACACCAAGCTAGAGGATGACAACCGTGCATTAATCATGCAGGTCCAGGCTCTGCTCAACCAGAACCAGGAGTTGCTCTTGCAGACCCTTGAGTCCAAGGATCAGTTCCATGAGGAAGAAATAGTTCTCAGGTATGACTGAGTATGATAGTATGAAAGGCGACATTTGAAGGATTTCTGTTGTTTTTGTTAGAATAGCACTTCTGGAAATAAAAGTTTTATTCTGATAGATATCCTGATAGATGTCGAGGCTAATCGTCATTAATTGAATCACTTATTGAATTAATTTTGGAATCTTTTGACGTGGACACTAAGCTGTACATTACATATAAGTGATACTGCATTGCATTAAAATTTATTATCATAAGACACCAGAGGAAAAGTTCCTATTTCAAATATGTAAAGATATTGTTTTATGTTACAGAGACAAGCTTTCTGACCTGAAGAGACAGAAAGAGAAACTTGAAGAGAAGATCATGGACTCTTACAAGAACATCACATCCCCCAAGAAAAACAGAAGCTTTGGTTCAAATCTTGTCAGGAAAGCTAGAGGCTTCATAACAAAGGTTTGTTTATTAAAATAAACTGATATTAAAACTTTTACCCTATCTACTGATTTTACAAGGCAGATTTTTGGACCTTGAAACGTTTTAATCCAGCATCCCGTCTTTGTCGGCATGAATATGAATCTGTCACATTTAGAAACTAACTTAGTTATCATTAGCGAAACTAACTGTATGCATGCATGTAGTGAAGTAGACAATGATGGGACAATTTCTTCAAGATAATTTCATAGTTTCAAACTCCTGAAGTACTAGGCCATAGGAGAACCCTCCTAAATGACACCATTTAAGAAACCAAATCCCCACAGAGGTAGATAGAACTGTCATCTAAAAATGACAACCTCACAATTCTAAAACCAAAAAACCCAAACAAGTTAGATGACTACCATAAATAGAATTCCAAATACAGTGTACTTCCAATCCATCGTGAAATGTTTGACTTGAAAATTTTGCTACCTCATTTTTGAAAGCAGCAGTACTTGGAGATTCCAGCATATGATTCCTCAGGCGTATGTATTGTTGTATCAACATGTGTTGTCTCTACATGTATTGTGTATTGTTCCTGTATCCCACCTTTTTGTAACATGTACCCTACATACTACAAATGCTTTAGGGATATTGTCCAGGGGCCGTGAATTCGTACGATCCCCAATCCAATCCAGATAAATTTTATCTTCTGGGATAAATCTTGGATTACTAATCTGGATTATGATTTGGTGAATTCGTACGATCCAAGGATTATTAGGGGGAATCCCCAAGATTTATCCAATTTGCATTGGAATACGGATAAAATTTATCCAAAAAGTAATCCACCTCAAGAGGTGGATTGAGATTTATCCTGAGATTAATCCGAGGATCGTATGAATTCACCGATTTTTGGATAAATTCTTGGATTAATCCCACAATGCATCATTACCATGACGAAATTTATCCGGATCGGATCGCGGATCGTACGAATTCACCGGCCCAGATATCAATTGTGGGAGAACAAAGTTATTTCAACAGAGGGAAGGATTATGTAACTTTGTAAGTGTAAAATTTCAGATTTTGGCTTGGGGAATGTATGTTAACAAACGAGCAGAGAGAGTGGAATTAATTATGATGAGTAAACCTCTGTTCTCCCCAACAACATGTATTCATGTTTGGACAATATCCCATACTAGTATTTCAGAAAATCATACATCATTTCAATTCAAGAAAAGTGATTTTAATTGTTTCATTCATTCATCTTCAATATTTGACTTTGATAGATGATTTCTATTATCAGAGACACTTGGCTTTATACAAAAAATATGTACATTCAGTTTTTCGTTACATGTACATTATACTGTACATGTAAACGTTCTTTGAGGCCGATTTTGTTTATATGGAGATTATAGTTCGAAATTTGTGTTTGCTGATGTAGGGTATCAAAAAACATAGACTGATCTGCTTTTAGTTTATCCACTTATTTTAAGTGCTTTCAATATCCAATATTTCTAGAGATGTATATTTCTGTTATGTTAAGATATGATCAAATAAATATCAATTCTTCATAGATTTAGTCTCAGATCTTTATGCTTATAGATTCCCAAATGTGCATCATATTTAAGATTTGTGTATTAAAATTGTATGTAATTCCATTTGATCGATTGTAAAATACATGATATTGCAATTGCTTTTTGTTCACATGTAAATGTGTCCATGTATGCTTAAATTGTAATTCAAAAAGTATAAAACCAGTGATGCTTTAATTGTGTGATTTATTTATTGTTCATAGAATCTTTTTGAGAAATAAAAAGAAGCCTATTACTTGAATAATACTCTTACATCTATTATTAGATATTACTCTTGAATAGACCGAGTTTCACATCAATTTCAAAATCAATATTATATTTCAAGAACAGCCACGGATTTTCATTGTCCACAAACTCAAAATATACTGAGCTGTTAACATACAGCATATTTTGACTGCTACAATACGTGCCTGGGGAAATGTTACGGCACATGGCCACCAGAGCAAATGTGACTGATGCATTATGTATAACTTAGTACCAAGGAGACAAAAAAAGAATAAGTGACAATTCAGATGGATCATATAAGGATAAAATCAAACAAAAGAAAAGGTTAGACACATGTATGCTTATGAATTCTTGTGTTTTTTTGTAGCGCCGTAGAGACAGAAAGTCCAATTTAGGTCTCAATGGCAGCATTGACAACCTACACCACATTTCTGATAGTTCTTCTATGGGGTCTGCAGGGGACACTTATGATGGCGGATTCAACAGGAGAAAACAAGGTGAGGATATTGATATATAGATGTTTTAGATCAAATAATTTTCTCAGTCAAATGGGTAAAAATTAAGTGAATGCTCCATTGTTTTGAATCTGTGTGTCATTTATATGAACCCAACTTGTATATCAGGATGTCAATGCCAATAATCACCATGTCTTTTAATCATGGTTGATGCATAGTGCTTTTCAAGATGGTATAAATAGCATTGAACTTTGCTATGTGGCATGAGCTCTCATATAGAAGAGTGATGGGGTAGAAATGGTGGCTTATCCATTTGGACAGTCACATGTCAATGTCCCCACTTAGTTGTATTTACAGCCAAACAAACAAATATCAAAACAAGCAAACTCCACAACAAACACCCACTCTATTTTATTCCAGAACGTGAAGACAGAGAAAACAGACGTCAGAGTTCTTCTGAATTGATTGATTCTCCTAAACTCGCACGTCAAAGTCGCAAACTTGCTGCATCAACTACAGCACTAAATGTAATCCAACGCAGCATGGGAGAGGAGACTTTCAGTCTTAGAGGTAAGAGCTGTCACCTTTATGTTATGATATAATTTCTTGATAGTTTCTGATTTTTCTTGGTGTTTTGCAAATGTAATTTTAACCAGTATTTAGAACCTACTCTAGTTTATTCTTTTGGATGGTTGTTTCTTTGATGTTTGGATTCTTCCATGCTTTGAATCCACAAGCTTTGTTGCTGTACTAGTGTTGCTGTTGCTGTTGTGTACTAGTGTATCATTGTCACCACCAGAAGTGATGACATATTGTTATAGTATGTGACCCAAAAGAAGCTTTACGATTATTCAAATTCAACAATCTCTTTTCGTAAACTGTGAACTTACTTTTGGACCAGCCTGTATTGAAACACCTTGAGTTTTAGTAGCCTTTTTGGCCCATGACAGGTTTTATTGTATTTTGTCTCCAATTTCTTATGGTTGTGGCACCCTGTATGTTCTAGAGATCTACAATAAATGTGACATCAGGATCTGTAAGGTCTACAACATAGGTAACCCTTAATTGAACATTAAAGTTACTGTTCATTTGCAGAATGTTCCATTGCTTATAGAATTGTTCCAGTTATAGTTATAATTAATCAAGGCATATTCATATTGAGAAATCTCATTATTTGATCAAAATAATTGAATCTGGGGTATTTTTACCAACCCCCTCCCTCTTACCCATGGTAGTAGTTATGCTACACCTTCTCCATGTATCAGTGTGTATAGATGGAATGTAATGAGTATCATAATGCATCGAATATATTATGATTAGAAGTTATAATAGTTCATAGATTTCCAGTATGAATATGCCACATCTACTATATAGCTTTTATCCATGCCTGAGTAATATACAGGGTGTCCTCAAAGTCTCTTTACACTTAACAAAGACTTTTTATCGTAATTGTAGAGACTTTATGGACACCTTGTAGTACACAGTGTATGACACGACAAGGCTGTTCTACTTCAACCATAGCTCCATTAACCATAGCTTCATGTTCCTCATTCAGAAATTACATGATTGATACCATGTAATCTATTTACACTAGTGGAACAAAACATTCATTGGGGTTCTCTTTAAATATCTTAAATGTTTAGCATGTGAATTTATTTGAATTTAAATGAATTTATGGAGTGGGGTTTACCACGTAATAGAATATCAAGTCAACTGGTCCAAATGTAATACTACTTAGTACTATCATGTAATTAACTCCTGAAGGCCAGGCACGAGTCTCTCAGGATTATAACATTTGTATGCTGTTTGCAATTTGCATGGTGAATACAAGTTATCAAGGCAGCAATTTTTAGCAAATGTCAGTATAAATTACCACAAAATTCAGTAAAATTTGTTTATCCAGAGACAGGGTCTCTCAAAACTAAAGGCCAACTGGTCGGACTCAAAAACAATCAAATATATTAACAGAATTTATTCATTTAGTAATATTTCAATACAAAGTGCAGAGTATTGCCTGAAATTTTAAAGATGTAAAGTATTAGTTGTTTTTATCATTTTTTTATTTTTTCCAGCTGCTAAATCTTCGGAAGATCTAACATTTGACTCTCCCCGCTCTAACAAGCTCACCCCCAGGACATCTCGCAGTGATGTCACAGGGTTCACATTGTCCAGTACCCCAAGAGGAGCCATGACATCACGTAGTGAGGGTCACCATGGTGATGTAGACTCCCTGTCGTCAAGCAACACATCACAACAACTGGACTACTCAGGAAGAAGTGTAGGGAGGGGCAACACTCCAGGGTCAAATCAAAAACCGACCCCAGATTTATTGAAACGAGAAAAAGGTAAGACTCAAATTGTAATAAATTGAAATAATAAATTGATAAAATTGAAATAATTGAAAAAATTCTTGCGTTTATCACATTGTTGTGTTAGTATTTCAAAGTATTGTGTCACTTTTAGAGATCACAGGAAATTATATCGTTAAAATAATTGGAACTCAGCCAAACAAAAAAGTTTTAATTATGTTTATGTAGTATGTATAATTTATCTTTCTACTGCCATTTTCTAGTTCAGTTAATCTACTCTGCTCATTTCTGATTACACCCAAGGGCTGTAAAACAAACTCCATTGAGTTGTATTGTAGATGATTAAAACAGAATAAATTACCAAACTTACTTCCAACCTAGATATTCTATCTTGAGCATGCATCTACTAGGAGAACATATTGCATACAAATATATATGGATTAATCATGCCTTAACTTTTTAACTGTTGCAACAACAATTTGGAGCCATTGTCAAGTTTTTCCATTGACCATCTGGATTAATAGCAACTTAATTTTGGAATCCGAGGCAATAACCATTTGGACTGATTAAGCAACTTGATTTTGTCATTGGCTGCATTAGCCATTTAGAATAATAGTGACTTAACTGAGCCATAACGATGACCAGGTGGAATAATACTAACTTATATTTGTCAACTGAGGCAATGGCCAGTTTGAATAATAGTGAACTTATATTGTCAGCAGATGTGATGGATGATTTGAATAGCAGTAATGTTACATCGTCACCTGAGTCAACATCTGTTAAACAGTTTTTAATTGCATATGTGGCATTGTCAGTGGTTGTTATAGTGTTTGGATTAACTGGAAACATTCTCTCACTGATTGTGCTTTCAAAAGATCGATCTGCCAGCACTCGTGTATTTCTTTTGAAAACATTGGCAATTACTGATTCTGTATTTATGATGTTCGCTTTTACAGATGTTACATCGATCATGCTAGACTTTTTGAATATTGATATCCACTTAACAGGTGGGACTTTGTTTAGAGCAACAATCTCAACTGTTTCTACACTAACAACATGGATGGTTGTCTTGGTAACAGTTGACCGATATATTCACATTACTAAGCCTCTACAAGCTCTATCAATCGCCACTTTGACACGGATGCGTGCATCTGTCGCATTTTGTGTAGTTGTAGCCATTATTTACAACATTCCAAGATTTTTTGAGAAGGACATTTTTGGACCATATTATTTTTTTATTTATTTGTTAATTTTGAATACAATATTTAGATATGGTGGACCTTTGATTACAGTTTCTATCCTCAATGTTAAACTATATCGTTCAGTGGGACAGTCAAGTAGTCTTCCTCAAAGAGAAAGCCAACAATCTTCAGAGGAAAGAAATTACACAATGACAGTGATATCAATTGTGTCTGTATTTCTTATGTCCTCTGTCATCAATTTACTCTGGATGGTAATATTTCCACTGTGGAATTATGGCATCGTTGCATCAGTCACTATAGTGATAATTACAAAGCATACCGCAGACTTTTCCCTCCTGGTAAACTCAGCCTGCAACATCATCTTTTACTTCCTGTTTGGACAAACTTTTAGGAACCAATTGAAGGAACTTGTTTGTTGTAAGTGAAGGTAGCATGTGCGAATTTGACTGCCAGCTGATGGTTTAATGTACCTTTTTATGGTATGGTTTTATGGCAGGTTCTATTCATATATAAATGAGTTGACCATAAAATAGTAGGTCAATCCATTAGCTGTCAGTTGGCAGTTGAATTTGTGAATTCTACCTTAATATATGGTTTTTAAACAAAATTCAATATCAAGGTACCATACGTATTGTATTATATATTTAGGAATGATTAAAACAACAAGTGGATAATTGAATTTATTGCAATTGCATTTCCTACTTTTCCTCTAGGTTTCCCACGTCATAACAGTCAGAGCAGCGAAGACAACATTCCAACTCGTGATATTGGTCCAGGTATCAGCCAATCACATTCCAGGGATTCCTCCATTGACTCATCAACCAATAAGATGAACTATAGTCAACATACGCCCCAGAAAACAACAATAAATAATCGTAGCCATGAGTTCTCCCCTGGCAGTGAGGTGATAGATCTACTCACATTTCTCAATGAGACTGATCGGGAACCAGATGAGCGGGTAAGCAAACATTGGCATATGAGCTTGTCTCATCAAAGGACTTTCTCATGTGTAATGAAAATTCAGTGATAGTTTGCATAACATGTTCTGTGAGGTCTACCTTACAATGGTGGACCAGGAACAGGTTTTCCTCTTCTGCAATGTTCCCTTGTAACTGTTCGATCCCTGGTTCAGGCAAAACTATATTGCTTGTTATCAAATGAGAACTTCTGTCATGTCTATATATTCCAGTACATGGAATGAACTTTACTTAATCTCTGTATGATCCCATAAAGGAAAAATAACCAGAGGCTCAATATGTGCACCCCCACCCCATGTATTACATTGTATTACGCTTCAACACTTATAGCATGAATGTCACTTTTATTTGTTTGCCTCATGATACCAAACTGTCATTGATTTATTCATTTACCTATATTTTTAATTTATTTTTCATTTTCTTAGTTTTTACTTCTTCCATTTATATTTTGTTGCTTATATTCCAACACTTCCTCTTCCCTTATTGACGCACCAAGATCGAAATGTTTTTGTTGTGCTATATGTGTCCCAGTTAAAAATGGAGGAATTAGCAGAATCAAATTGATTCTATGTGGCTATCTAATTATAAGCTCATATTTAGAATATTGAACTCCTCAAAGGAGATAGTAATCTGAAAGGGTAATGAAATGTAGCAAGTTTGTTTTTTGTTTAATTAAATTTGTTTAATTGAGTTTTGTTTTGGAACATCCTGGGATAAGAAAAAATTATTTCAGCACTATTTACCTGGAAAAAATACAGTTTCAATTATGTTTGCACCAACTCCTTCTGAAAATGATAAGGAATAGTCTAGAATGGAAGATATAGGAGGGAACTCCTTATTCATGAGTGTGACAGACATTGTTAACATTTTGCATTATTCTCCATGTTAACACCTTCTGTATTGTGTATTACAACATCCAGGTGTTACAACCAGCCAGACGCAAGATTGTAAGTTAACTTATGATCAGGATAGATCTTGATTTGATTTGGTTTGATTTGATTTATTTTTGGTGAGACAATCAATCCAATTAACCTTGTTCTGATTTTTTTTCATTTGATTACAGGTGTGGTTTATATGATGGGTTGTTTTCCAATCTTACATTTGTGTTCACATTTGAATTTCATGGTGAACTTTGTGTGACAAGACATGGGCAAGTGTAACTGCTGCATGGTGTTAATTTCACAATAACTGTATAGCGCTGCCCTCTATATTAACTAAAATGACACAGATAAAATTACAATGTACATCATATACTAATGAAATATAACTAAAAAAAACAATGTAAACTTACATGTATTCAGCTATTCATATTTAGTAGAAGAAGCAAATAACAGTGACACTGCACTAACTTGTCCTTGATTTTCATGATAGATGCGTCATCATAGCATTTCTTTATCATGCACGATTTCCTCACAGACTGATTGTTAGGATGGATTTCACTTTATTTAATTCATGTACTTCAGATGTGATATTGTGTATTAAATATGTTAATACAGTATTCCTGTGCAGTTTGACTTTTGTGCTATATTGTAATTGTCTGTATTCATCCATTGACCTTCCAGTCCAAAGATAAGGCATTTTAGGTCAAAATTACTGGGAAAACTGAGGATTAATCTTGCATGGGGTTGTGAAAGGTCAGGTTGAATCTTATATGATTTGTGTGAACAAGCCACTTTTTCTCAAGAATAATAAGTTTCTTGTGTGTTTTGTCAATATGATTCCTTCACTTTGAATACTGTTAGTGTGATCTATTGTACAACGTTCTTGTTGTGAAGATTTTAATGTGAAAGTACATTTAAGCTTTTTTGCTATATTGTGCCATATCTCTCTTATATTGTTATGCTATATTATGTTTTACAGAAGAAGTTCCTGGACACAAAGAGTAAGAGCTCGATGAATCTGTCCCTCAGCTCATCCCTTGGCACTACCCCTGTCTCCACCTACAACAAGGGCCCTGCCACCAGGAATATCTATGATGGACCTAGGGGATATGAGAGCCTTCCTCGTAAAACACGTCGTGCTCCACCTATTCCAGTACAACGATCTACAACTGTGAGTGAATTCAACCACCCACCACATGTCTCAAGAGTGATTCAGCCAGCTAAGTCAGATATGGACATCTCAAAGATCTCACACGTGTCTGAATTAAGCATGCATCCACACAACAATAACAGCAACAATAACTCACACAGGCAGGGCAGTCCCCAGGGGGCAGCACTGTCTCTCTCAAGCAGAAATATATCGCCAATATTGAACAATACTCGAGACCTGAAAACATCCACTCCTAAGGTTAATAATGGATCTCCAAACTATACCGTGCGATCCTGGGCTGATCGTCAGAGAGAGCAAGGTATTATGGAGGCCCCAGAAAGTCCAGCTCGACCTGTGCGAGACTCTGTTAATGAGTACAATAGGAGATCAAGTGTAGAGGATGTAGGGGTCTCACCTCGTCTACGTTCTCAGCATAGTATAGACTCGGCCACTGATACCTCTTTACGCAATGGAGGCTCCCCTGTGCAGTATACAAGGAGTCCTCGAAAAGAGACCCCTTCTGTTGAACGGGAAAGGTCAAACAGATTGAACAATGAACCTGAGGTGGATCAGCAGTTTAGCACAAGTGTTAGTAAACTGACTAAGAACTTTGAGGATAGTGTCCAAAAGTCACAAAGTAGTCCCGTTCCCCCACCTAGACGCCTGCGTGATGGTAGGTCCCCTGCCCGCACCTTAGAGCACACTCCAAATACAACCCCCAGAGACACTACTAACCCATCCACCACACACATATCACGGAAAGATGACACACCAAGAAGCCGGAGTGGGCGATCATCAACTCCGCCACGTCCAAATATGGACCAGAAAGACCCAAGCAAGCCAAATTCAGTGTGGTATGAATATGGTTGCGTGTAGCATTCATTTAATTCAAACATTTCGTATATTTGTGATGAATAATCAAGGAATGTAACTTCATAATGTTCCTTGGTGCCCAGCAATGTTAAATTGTCATAGTTGTTCACTACAGTACTTCATTATAGTGCCTATCACTATAGTGCCTAACCATAGTACCTTCAATGGTACTGAAGTCTGGTACCTCACTAAAGTGCCTCAATCTGGTGGCTGAATATGTTAAATAAATGAATAGGTTGCATTTAACATTGAATTCCAAATATGTATACTGTATGTAGCATTGTGAGTATTTTCTCTATAAGTAAATCATTCATTTTGGTATCAGTTATTCCCCCTAGACCTCTAGCAGAAATGTCAACTGCTATTAATTCAGGAAATTAAGTGTGGTGCCGTGGACCAGATGTAAAAATGTACATATATGTAAATTAGGCTTCAATTTATATAAAGTATTATAATGCTTTTCTATATATAATGCAATTAATGGTGGAGCAATAGTTTTGTAGCAAAAGATTACCATGTAAGTTGTATATACATGTGCATGTACTAGACTATATGACAGTAATACAAAGTTTGTAAATATTCCAATTTGATACATGTGTACATGTTAGGAGATTACAGTTAAGAGGAATTTGGATAATTTACCCAGGACATATGTTTTGTATGGCTAGTAAAAGTTAATGATGGTCAACTTGAAACAATTAAAAATCACCTCAATACACCAAATGTACATAAACCAAATGCATAGTGAAGAGATAAGGAAACTATTTGTTGATACTCTTGATATATCTACATGTAGTTTCATTATTCACTGGTGTCTCACGCAATCTTATGATTTCTCGAGTTATAGTATAAACCTAAATTGAAGTCTTGTATTTCACCCTTGATCTCCCCCCTCCTCATTTCCCATATACACTGTTTGGGAAACAGTTAGTGTGATGAGTGGGAGGGGGTAGATACTTGTTGCAAGACTGAACTCTGAATTGAGAAAAACTTGAAACAATAACAATTAAAACGGAACCTAAGTCCCTGATGTTGATGATACGCTAGAGATTAGATGCTTATAACAAAATGTACATTCCATTTTAGAATTAGACATGCAATATTTATGTTATTATGTCAGTGTGCCAGATGTGTTTTAATGTGTTAAGTACCAGGGAGATGATCATATGTGACTGAGTTATTGAATATTGGAAGTGATGGAAAACTTCATTCATACACTAGTTTCAGATCTTAATTGTGATTTAGTATTTGTTTAGACGAAGAACTTTATTGTACAATGTACATATATGATAAATGTAATATTAGTCCCCTATGTATGAATATGTCTCATATCCTGACTCATTTGTTCATTATTTCTTTATTTGCCAGTGATTATCTAAAAATAATTCTGACATTGAGTCATATTATTGTTTGGAATCGTTCTAATGGTAAACATTCCCATGAGAAAATTCTACAGCACATGTCTCCTAAAGTAATATTCTCTTTGTAATATGTAAGTAAAGTCTGAAAGTGTAAGTTATCTCTATGAAGCCAAGACATCCGATACATGGTCCAATTAAACAATTACACATACGTGTACACACGTAATATGCTGAGATACCTGCTCCTCAAGATAATCAGGCTTGACACTGTAAAAATGTTACCAGAATGAGATTGTAATGTGGCCATGCTGATGTTTTAAAGAATTACTCAAAATTGTGTCTGGAATTTCTAAATTATGGGCTTATATTATATTCACTCTATTTGATATTTTTTGTATTTCTAGGTAGGGTTTACATTCTATATACTTTTATCTTGCAATGCAGTCAATATATACACTTTATGGCAAATTAACAGTGATTGCGGATTTTTCAGGGGAGGGGGTTAAGTCAAAACATTTTAAGCCCACAATTAAATATGCCTATTTAGCCAGTGTTTATTGACCTGATCCCTACATTATATCAAGATGATATTAATCCATCCATAGTCTGGGCAGTATTGTTCATAGCATATGTAATGTGGCATTGTGTCATAATATCAGACCGAATGAAGGGTAAATTGTTTTATGTAAAAAACATTCCAGTAAAGTAAAGTACATATGTAGACGTATTATGTTGAAAATTGTCTTGTTAGTTGATATAAGCAGTGTGTAAATTGAAACTTCCCAAGAACAGCACTCTGGACACCCTGTATGCAAACCCCACCTTATTGTATTTTATTAGAGAAACATATGTAAAAGTACTCATTTTGTATTAAGCTTTTATAGACTAAACTAAGATCTCTGTCATTATAATGTATAAGTATATTCGAATATTGTGTATTAGTACCAAGCTTGATTGTTTTGTTATTAAATTATTTGTGACTATTTATATGAATTTAAGAAGTTTCGGGATGACAACTTTTCATCTCAACTTTTCAGTAAATACTCTAAACTCATAAGTAGCTCTGTCGTGAGCCTTGGATGTAATTCTTTTCAAAAGATACAACCTTGCTTACAGTTATTGTGTCTTTGTATATAATGTATTTCCACAACATTAAATTCCTTTGACAGCCTGGGATTATGATATCAATACCAAAATTGCCAGTAACATTGATGTTTCTAGAGACTGTGCGGTTGTAAACATCCTTCAACCCTGTCAACAGGAACTCATAACTTTTTTTTATTATTGCCTAATTAAAAGAATTGTATCGCAATTTTCAACCAGTATCAGTTTTTTGACAAAATAACAAATAAGATATTTTCCAATCAATCAGGCTGTCCCAGGTTTACTCTGTTGAATACTGTATTTTTTTTAATTTGGCACCATCTTTGATTTGGTAAATTTTAATTAAATCTTCACCAAATCTCCAGGAACAATAGTGTTAACTGTAATATATAATACCATAATTGAAATCCAGCTTGCCCTTGAGTTATAGCGTATGTTCTTATATTTTCATTGTACCATTTGGGCCATCTATACATTGGTATGTTACTGATTGGCTGAAAGTAAGGACCTGATTTTGTGTTTCTTAATAACAGTAACACTAAGAGTATCTTCCAAAATTAAAAGGTATCAATATAAGCAATATGACCCCCCCAAAAATTAAACAAATACAGTAATCGATGGAATGAAGTTTACTTTTAGTAAGGTGATCTTTCTCACTCGCACTTTGACCCGGACTCATGCTTGGGTCAAATGCATGGAGACTAAATGATTATTATTATTATATGTCGTCGCGTGAGAATAACTTTGTACTAACTGCCATTTTCAAAAAAATTGAGATAGACATGGAATTTTACTATTTGAAACACAGGCTTTCATCTCAGATACATGCCCCATCTCAATTCCCTCTCATTAAGCTAGAATTCAGTGTGAAATTGTACCATCTCCAGACAAACAGCTTATTTCTAATTTCAAATTGTCACATCTGATATCAACTGTTTCAACCAATCAACTGTCTAAGAATTGGTCATGTGACTTGCAAAACTTGGAGTTATAACAATTTTATATTAAAACGAAGTATGCCAATATGCATGTTATTGTATCTAGAATGAAATAATGTTTTGTAACACAATACCATGCCAGTTTGCATGCCTGGCCTTTCATGTTTTAGTTTTAGAACTATTACAAGTAGATCAAAAAAATAAAATGATACAGTATGTGTAATCCCATGCATATTAAAATTATATGCCCTCAATTACTCTTTGTATTATGGATGCTCATTGGATTATTCATGGCCACATGATATGAAATAGAATTACTAATTTCCTCGAAAACCGAAATCGTCGCTACCAGGGAAGATGAAAAGTACAAATGACCAGTTAATTAGATCATGTGAGCAGTCAAAAGTACCCTTTATCTTCCCTGCTACCAGGTCTTATAGGGGTTTGAATGGCCAAATGCAATAGAAATGCATATACGAAGCTGTCATCATTAAATGTTGAAAATGAAAGACTACTTATTTGTTTCTTCAAATAGAGTACATAATAATAGGTTATATACTAGATATAGTAATCAAAACAAATAGTAACTGTCATATTTTGCACTTCATTGCTCAAAGGCAATCACTGTCTGTATACTATTGAAATCTCTTTCAAATTGATGTTTTATAGTTTGTGGAAAAAAGCTAAATCTATTTAAACTAGCTTTAACTTTTACTGACCATACACTATATCAATAAGGAGTTATCTTTATGTTAGTATAGTCCCTTAAAACACTTATTTTATTTTCTCTTCATCTATGATTTACTTTGCGCTTTTCACTGAACATCTGGGATCTTTTTAGTTATTTATTACTAGTATGTTTTTCAGATTTGTCCTTTCTTTTGCATTTTTGGGATCATTGTTTTAAGATCATCTACATTTTATTTTGGAAAAGTAACAAATTGGTTCAATTTCTTTACAAAGAGCCACTCTTAGTCTCCACTTCTACAATTGCTTCAATTCCCAATTGTACTCCACAGAGTAGCAAACAACAGAAAATGAATGGATAATGATAGCTGCATCCCAATGAACAAAATGTGATTACCTAAATCGAGGTTTCATCACTTTCATTAATCTAAAATGAATTAGAATTTATTTTTCTATTTTCAAATTTCTTCCATGTGCATGTAATAAAAATTGGTTATGTCTTAGGCCCTAAGGATCTGAAAATTGCTGGTCAAAATGGAATTACGAACCAGTTGCAATGTTATTCTCCTATACCCAGTGAAAAAATCAACTGGTCTGTATCAAAAATAACCTGATAATGACCAGCGGACCGGCCCTTAGGGGCTACATTGTAATGTGCTGGGAGGTTTAGGCTTCAGGCTTTATACCGAGGGAAATATGTGGGGGACCGTATTGGCATCATTGGTTTCAATGCATTGTACTTCTGCCTTAGTTTCAAAGGCAATAAATTCTTTTTGAAGGGTGTCCTGAGATTCCAAAATTAAGAAATAATTGTACTTATTTGAGAAATTGATTTTAAAGTTTTATAAATTGAATTTTCTTTATTTTATTAAATAATATTCTTTGGTTTTTGAAGACTTTTTTACAAAGCAAAACATTATTTTTCATTCTAGATACAATAACATGCATATTGGCATACTTTGTTTTAATATAAGATTGTTTAAAGAGTCAATAAAAGATATATATATATAACTCCAAGTTTTGCAAGTCACATGACCAATTCTTAGAGAGTTGATTGGTTGAAACAGTTGATATCAGATATAACAATTTGAAATTAGAAATAAGCTGTTATTCCGGTGGGAAATTGTATCAACTCCATTTCCATAGTTTTAAAAAAGGATCTTGTAAATTGTTTCAAGGTATGATATTTCATATAAGATATCTCTAGGTTGAGACCAGATGACATACAAAAAATCAAGTTTCACATAGCAATACTAAGTAAGATACAGACCTCTAAACTTTCAAACCTTGATTTCTCAGTTCCGTAAAAATGTGAGATAGTACAAAGTTATTCTCATGCGACGATGTATTATAGAAGCTTTTTAGACAAAGTGCTTTGTCCCTTGTACAAACATTATGTCATGTACAATTGTACTTGTCAGCTGTAGTTTTGTAAAATAAATACTTTCAGCAAAATAAGTCAGCTGTTTTGTATATAATTGAACCAGATCATAGATAAGTCTCTAACTAGACCTCATGATGTGTGAGTTAGCACAAGGGTATCACACATAGCTCATATCACTTATGATGTGTGAGTTTTGCACAAGGGTATCACACATAGCTCATATCACACATGATGTGTGAGTTTTGCACAAGGGTATCACACATAGCTCATATCACTTATGATGTGTGAGTTTTGCACAAGGGTATCACACATAGCTCATATCACTTATGATGTGTGAGTTTTGCACAAGGGTATCACACATAGCTCATATCACTTATGATGTGTGAGTTTTGCACAAGGGTATCACACATAGCTCATATCACTTATGATGTGTGAGTTTTGCACAAGGGTATCACACATAGCTCATATCACTTATGATGTGTGAGTTTTGCACAAGGGTATCACACATAGCACATATCACACATGATGTGTGAGTTAGCACAAGGGTATCACACATAGCACATATCACACATGATGTGTGAGTTAGCACAAGGGTATCACACATAGCTAGAAGAAATTGTGACATTGTTATGTCCATCATCTTTTTAGTGACCAGCATTTAGCATCTGTAGCAATCGTTACTTTTTTTGAGTTTTTGGCAAAACCTGTTTTTATGGCAATCAGGGGGTCATTAACAGAAACTTCATAAATATGTGAATTCATAAATCAATTGTTGTTACCATGTATATAATGACGTCAGTAAGAGAACGATGGACTTTACGAATTCTTAAATTTACGAAGTTTCTGTTCATTGCAATGTATACAAAAATATCCCTGTGACATTTCATTATTTTCTTTATATCTAATTTGATTTTTTTACTAAATCAACCTTAACTACATACCTTTAGTTAAGAGGGGAATAGAAATAATGAACTTGATTTTCTTCATAACATTACAAATATTCAAAATTCAGTCAATGTGTTGGCACGTTTAGACCTACATACACAATTGTATCTTAATGTGGTTTTAAAAATTATTTTTCTACTTTGAAACAATAACTTTCTCTGAAAATGTGATTTTTAGCTCAGATTCCCCATAGAGCCCATATTAAAGTCATAAAAGTTAGATATCTTTTCTTAGTTTAAGCTGAGACTAACTAGTCTCAGGTTTAAACAAATGATATTTCCTTTATCGAACATGATTTTAAATGAAATAATTTTCAAACACAAAAATTGATGAAAACTAGTCCAGTAAATCTATTTATTATTCAAGTCTAGCCATGCTAGAGGAACATTTGTTTGTCTGATATCTTATCTGCCCTGAGTTAGTCACCTACATAATGACCTAGTAGTGAAACTGGAAACATGTTTTTAATTCATAATAATTTTTTGTATAACTTGCAATCAATAGACATCAATAGGTACAATACTGGAAATATCAAAACTTGAAAATGTGCCCGCCTATTCATTAGCATTTTTCAACAAGCTTTAATAAATATCAATATTGCATTGTGTATGTTACAAGAAAACATCATTACCAAAATATTTTGTGGTGATTTAGTAATATAGCTTTTAATTGAAATTATAAGAGAACATTTTTCCAAGGAAAATCCATAAAACAACCTTTTAGACCTATCAATTCTTGGAACTATTTTTGAAATTCGCCCCTGCCCAATTTCTTAAAAAGTCTGTACACCCTGGATGCATACTAAGTCATGGAACTCCCAAGACAGAGTATAAATTGACATCAAACAATTGATATTGTTTCAATATTTATTATCAGATAATATGCATTCTAAGAAATAGAGTATAAAAACATATGACATTGTATGATTCATTTATAGACATGATTCTCCATGGTGAAACATTGAACATGCTCAAAGTTTGAAACTTCATAAATTAATTAAGACCCCTTGCTGTATTCAAAATAAGCACATATAATCAACTGTCAATTTATCATATTTGCACCTCAAAACTATTTCCATTGAAGATTTATAAGTAAGCACAATGCACTATTATAGACAGTTAGCTAATAAAAAATAACATTTTGTGTCTGATTACCAGAAGTATGACTTTTGGAAGTACCAATAAACAATTGGAATTTCAAGGGAACTTTTATATCCGGGTAGCGCAATGCATCCTGGGAATAATTGATTCTTCGAAACCAAGCAGAAGAGTTCTATTTGGTTCGCTTTAGAGGCGAAATTTGCAGAATCTGTGGCTATGGCGACTGCAAAGACCACAGATCAAGATGCACGGGGGTCCGATACTGTTACATACGAGCTGGGAGATGGTGAGTAGCCTTGGTTATATCTTAAAACATCCAATAAGTTTAGTACGTCCAATCTCCAACGTCTATTTGTTTATTTTGGGAGTTTACTTTTCAACCGATTTACTAGGGAAATGCATTGATATTCTTGAACAAACTTAAAAAATCTCTTCATGATAGTTTATATCAAGTATATCCTTGGTAAGAATGTATGATTGTTGGGAATTCCAGGTGATTTTGCTTTTGAAAGTGAAAACCTTTGAAACTGTCAATATGGCTGATCTTTTGTTAAAATTGACCCTGAACCATATAACATCAGTGCAGTTTCAGGTCTGAGAGTTTTTCAAACACAAGCATAGTTCATTAGCATATCTGATTCTAGTTAACAAAATGCATATATCTATCTCGAAAATATGGCTGATACATAGATTTTTCATGACCATTTGTGCAAAAATTCATTACATTGCAGACACAATCAGCCTCAACCTGGGGATTAAACAGCCTTAGCCAATGAAAAGCTTTCAATAGATATACAACTCAAGTAGAAATCTGTTATGTAATCTACTGACACTGAAAGAGTTATTTTCAACGATTCTATATAAAGATCACAATGTACACCTTCAGAATGACTGATTCTTATTTTAATTTGTGATCGACCATATTTGAATAATAGACATCCTGTGTTACCTAGTGCTTCGACCTAGAAATAAGACATTGGCTTGTTTTATTGATTTTATGAATAACTAGAGCACAGGTTAATGAAACTATTATAAACCATCTAATGATATGTTTTTTTGTTTGTTATTTACAATATTGGAAAGTATCATCGTTGTCATGAACATGTTATTGTTTGTGCTATTTATTGATCATGTACAATCTAAGTGCTTGTTTTGAAAAACAGTCACATAACCAGTTTGTTTTTCATTTGTTTTTCTATCTGTCCCGGTTGATTCATAAACATAAACAACTTTGTTGCTTACATATTACAGTTAGCAAAATACTTTCACAGAGGCAAATAGATTATTAAGAATCAAAATGAAACTATTGATGGAAAAACATGTCATCTAATTACTGATAAGCTGCTTCATAATTCATTAATTGGATTAATTATTAATCTGTTAATACAGCACAGTAAATTGCAGTAAATACAAATCTTTGATCAATAAAGGAACTAAATAGAAATTTTAAAGATTACTAGGAACTTAACTAGACTAATGTCAACATGAATACTGGGAAGAAAGCTATTTTCTGCAGACTACCAGAACTTCCTCTTAAACCTTAAAGAAATATTCATTTACAAAATTGCTGGTGATTGTGTGGCGTACTGCACATAAGAAGGGGAAAATATATTTAGTAACTCAGGCTAGGAAATTCCAGGCATGTAGCTAGAAGACTAGGACTAGATAGTTAGGCAGGTACATGGAGAGTTGATCCAGACACGTTGCGAAAATCAAAAGTTAGTTGAGGATACTTGAAACTGAAGCTGGTGTATTATTATTATATAGCCCTATAGCCTAGTAAAGCAATCATGATGCTAGGTTAAATCTAGTGCAAATACCTGTAAGAGTCAGTTTTATCAATTATTTTACACTTATTTAGTTATCAAAGTAAGGGCATATCTGTTAAATGTATCTAGAGGGTCTGTAGGATAAGTGTACATGCCAAACATTCATACGTTGGTATTTAATAATTATTGACATTTGGTGACAAACTCATTAAGTGGATTAAGTGAAATTGTTGTGGTCGGCTCTCACACAAAGGCCAACCTTTGAACTTAAAACAAAGACCCTTAAAATTGGCCATAAGAGTATGCAGAATAAAATGTGCAGTTTTTAAAGCGTCAGCAGGATTAATGAAGATATAAACAGTATTAATATTATCAGATGATGTAATGTTGGGGGTCACCATTGACAGTGTTATGAAATCAGGTAGGTTGTATTATATATGTACATGTAGTTTCAGAAATATGAGATAAAATATATGAATCATGTTTTGCTCAGTATATGGTCTCTTGGTTGGATGTGCTAATTATCATGAAACCTGTTTGATTTTATTACTAACTCAGAATTATTTCTACAGTGTTTTTTAAGCACTTGGCGAAAACATGTGAACAAAACTGTTATTAACTATTAACTGTATGTTAATAATTACATAAATACATGTATCCTGTAATGACATGTACACTACCTTCCAAAAGTTTTGCAACTCCAACTCCTTGTCTGATACCATGTTAAGGTAGTTCTATACGAATAGTCCCATGTTATTTTCAGATGTTATTTTCAGGAAGATACAACTCAATCCATACATTGTCTACATCTTTCAGTTTTGCACAAAGAGTATACTTTTGCACCTAGATCATAAGTTGACAGTATTTGTATTTTTTACAATGTATGAAAATTCAGAAAATTCAGTGACCTATTTTTTACCAAAAATATGCAGACAGATTTTTCTCCTTTTTATACATGTATTTAGAATATCAAACTCTTAATTAATAACTTAGGTATACATAATATTATGGACTATTTGTGCAAAACTGAAAGATGGTGACTATGTATAGTATGAGTTTATATATACCTGAAAATAACATAGACGTCCAACAAGGGAGCTGTTAAAGTTTCTGAAAACAAAAAACTACCTTAGCCTGATTTTGATGAATTTTTAAACAATCAATGGGGAAGTTTGGGTTGCAAAACATTTTGAAGGAGAGTGTATGTTCAGATAGTTTCTATATACACGTGACGCATAAAAAGAAACTATTGGTACTTTTAGTATAACAAGAACTTAGATAAGATATTTCTTATGACTAGGGCCTTTCTTGTACACTATTAGGTAATATTGTCAAGGCTGTAATCATTCAATGTTTTTTTGAAAACTCATCTTCATTTGCACCATAATATAATCATCATAACCAATTCCCAAAAAGAACATATTTATATAATATATACAATAAAACCTGTCTTGGTTAACACCTCTCTCTAGTGAACACCTGTCTCTAGTGGAAACTATTACTCCGCACATATACTATACTGATTTTTGCATGAATTCTCCTCTCTGTAGTGAACAGCTACCAACACTGAACATTCTTCTCAGAAAAATATATTTGATATACTTTTTGGAGTTTTACTGTTATGCTAGTACAGACAACCCTTAATATGACATGCCTGTAGAAGATTCAAAAACGTCTGTTCCCCTGAATCCTGGCAATGTCATGTGACAAAGTTTAACCAATCAGAGTAGAGAATATGACTCCTAGATGCAATACTGATGTGGGAAGGGCTGGTTTGGGAGAGTAAGCTAGGACTGATATTGGAGATAGCACTTAGCATCCTTACCTCAGAAACATCTGCTACCTTTAGTTACCGTTTCTAGGGATGCCATTGACCTTACCAAGTTTAAGATTCACTTTGTGCCTCTGGAGGGATAACCCTGATTCCCTAACAGTTAGTAAGCCATGCTACTGTCTGAATATTGCAGATGATTTTACACAAGACAATGATGATAACAAATGATGCGTTTATGAACTTCCATTCATGAATTTCTGTCATGTTTCTTTACGACATCTGATTTGGTAGAAGCAAGATCCCTTTCTATTCATTTGACTCTTCTTCTTAAAAGAGAGCTTAATATACTGATTAGTTACTTTAGAACTAAATTCTGCATTCTAGGTAACATGTGTAATAGAGAACATAAAGAACAAAATAAAATCGTGACTTTCTTTGCTAAGGATTGTTATAGCTCACAGTGTAATATCTTGATTGTAATTCCTCCTTTGTTAACTCACCATGTCGCCTGTCTTCTGCATTTGAAACTCTCTTTTAAAAGCTTGAACTCAAAGTACAGAAAATGGTACTTGGTTGGTAGGGAGGGAATTTTGTTCACCTCCGAGTACTCAAACTGGTAAAACAGTTTGACCTAGGTAGACAGACAGACAATATACAATGAAACCTGTACATCTGAACACCTCTCTGATCTGAGCACCTCTCAATGTGAATGTCATTTTGGTCCAATTTGTGAATTAAATCTGCCAAAGATGCTCACATGAATAAACTTTTGGCACTTTTAGGACACTTTAAGCATGTCCCAGGGGCCAGCAATGTTCAGATAAAACAGGTTTTACTGCATTTGTCTTTCTAATATCTGGCGCATATCTTAAATAACAAGATAATAGATGTCCCTTTCTTGGCATTCTGCAGCTATTCTGCCGATGACTGTCTTTTTAAATTAATTAACTCTAAACCTAGAATGACAGAGGGCTGGGATTTATTATCTTAATTCATGTTTACATCATTTCTGTACTCCCTCCACCCCTACAATATACTTTTAAATCAATCTGAGTATTTAGCTAATTGACAATATTTGCAACATAAAGAAAGATGACAAGAGTACAGTGCACCTCTGTTAAAAAGGTCAATCTAACAAAGCAGTGAAAGCTAATTCTTTTCTGTTCATTTTTTGTGCATAGAGTTCAAACCACAAAGAAACCACATATTTTGCATTTGAAACTGAAAATCTAATTTTTTGCTTTTTTCGGAAGTAAATCATATACAAACTGGATTTACATATGACTGTGTATTGAGTGCTTTTGGGATTACTTTGGCCTAAAATAGTTTTTTCTTTCTATTTTACTGATTATGTTTAGATCAGAATGTTTTCTTTTATTTGCTTAATGGGGTGGTGGCTGCGGGACTAGAGCCTTAACTGATTATGTATAGGCAGATCTGGGGCAGGGAGATTCAAAAGCCTATCAGACATTTCTGAAGTTTTAGAGTGCTTTTTTGTTTGATTCATCAAAACTGTTATTTTGCACTTTTGAAACAAAACTAGTTAATTTATGTTTATATGATAAGTGCAAACAAACATGTCCTCATTTCTAAAAAATCAATGATTAACTGCTTACAAAAACAAGTACATGTACTCTGATATTGTATACCTACATGTCATCTGTCAACCTATCTCTAAAACAATCATCTACCCTGTGTTATGTAATGAATGTGTTATTGATTTGTTATTTTATAGAATTCATG